ACGCTCCACAAGCTAATATCTGCTAACCAGTTCAAAACAGTGGTTAAATCTGCTTTATAAGCTTGTTTCAATTTGAAACTGTTATATTATTAGCTTCAGTTCTGCTCAGATCACATTGAGCTAAATAAGATCAAATCTGCTGACTTGTGTTGTAAAATGTGATGTTTTCCTGTTCATCTTCTGTTAATAAATCCATAACACAAACAGCTTTTCTGGCATTATTTAAATCACTAGATAGATTATATAAACTGTAAAATATTAATAAGAGTTGGATTAATATTATTATTAATAGTTTTTATGATTTCTACATAGTCAGTCCTTTTTTTTCTGCTCTGTTGTCAACATGTACAGTAACAGGAAATCCAGACTCTTGACCGTTTTGTGTTAGCCGCTAGCTTCACCAGCCGATCACAAGGTCACGTGGTTTCTGCTCACTCCAGAACCTCCTTGGCTGGCACACATCTTCACCTCGACTCTCTCCGATCCTCAGCTCAGTAGGTCCTAAGAACCGAGCTGGAAGAGGGCGAGACAGCTCAGTAGAAAGACTGAACCCACACCAAGTCGATCTGAGTAGGGCTCCGTTGAGACAACAGAAAAAAGTAAATCAGATTTACTCTTTACTTAGAGTAACTTTTTTGACACAAACCTGTTAAGGTTAGTTTGTTAGTTAGCTGTTAGTAGACCTAAAACTGGCAATCTTATTTAGCAGAAGCTAAATTAGTCAGCTAAAAGATTTGTGTCTGTCTGTCTGAAACAAAAAACAAACAAAATAATTTTTTTAAATAAAATTAAAACAAATGACCTTGCCCATTGATATGTCATTTTACATGTCTGTTTGAAAAGGAGCAGGTAGAAGATACAAGATTTTATGATTTCCTGCCCCTCTCATACTCAAAGGTTTGTAAAAAAGCTAATCTGTTAAACAAATAATTAGTTCCATCATTAGTTAGTCTATTAGCATACCCACCGTTGTACTGTAGAGTAAATATTATACAGCATCTATTTAAATTTCTTTCTTGTGTTTCTTTCTTTCTTGTTTTTAAGGTTGATTTTGTTTTAGACATCCCTCTTTTTTAAAACTAGCCATATGTGGGGTGGAAAAATCCTAATGTCCCTTAAACTGACACAATAGACCACTGCTGACAACACTCACAATTACATCTCACACCTTGTTAATATGCCACAGCATGACACTTGTGAGCTTGGCTGTTTAAAATTTTGTGTGTTACATGGCTCGGCAGGGTATGATCGTCATTAATGATGTAAAAGCCTCTGAACTTGGCACACTCACCATAAATAAATAAGCTCCGATCCTGCTGGATTGCTTTCTGCTGGTTTGAAAGAGGGGTTGTGGGTGGGGGTGGGGGGGGGGGTGTGCTTGGCCAAGCCGCCAATGCTCGGGTTATTTTCCACCAAATTCATTGCCTAATGAGGGAGGTGTAACAACACAGTCGTGTTTTAATTGGTCCGCTGTTGTGTAATCAGAATGAATGGCTTTATTCAGATGTGATTAGAACATTCAGGCAGGGGCTCAATGGCTTCAATGACCTGCTTTTATTGGATTGTTTCTTTGGTGAGTGTTTGATAAGACGTTTCCCCACCTAATGCACATTAGCACATCATAAACCCGGATGAACAAGTGACAAAAAGCTGCTGAAGTAATTTTACGCAACAATAGTTCAACACTGAGATGATCTTTTTATGTGTATGTTTATTTGTGAGCTTTCTGGAGGAAGGCAGTTCTGTTTTGTCTGAGGGTCAGAGAACAGCGTGCTAATTGAAATTTCACGTCGTTTAAGACCCTGTAATCATGACTGCGGACCTCCGGAGTTCACATCCTTGTCTTTGTGTTGGGGGTTTGACTCCAAAGTCCAGGGGAGCCCGTCAGAAAACTGACTACGGGCATTCAAGAACGCCTTCGTCTGTGGCTTTTATCCTCCTGAACTTCTCCGCCGAGGCTCAGAGAAACAGAGAGGCGGGGATTATGCAGCTCAGCCATTATTATAGAGATGACAGTGAAGAGAGCGTCTCAAAGCGGCACAGTGTTTCACATCAGTCCAATTATTTGCTCCGTCTATTATATTGTTCTAAGATAATTAATAAAGCACCGATGTAACGCTGAAGGAGATAATGTAGAAACGGGCAGCACAAAGAATGCACACTTGCAACTTCTCTTGCAGATGAGTTATGGCTGAAATAGCGTTGAACCAGCAGATTTCTGCAGCTAAAGGGCTGTGTCTAAAATAGCACAGTGTGTTCGGTTCACACAGATACGTAACCTTAAGGTGCCCTTTTGTGCAGCAGTGACAGTACATACCAAGACATCCGAACTGATATTTGTCTGCAGGGACACGGGGTAACAGTACTATTTCAGCACTCCGATGGTGCCGTCTCGCACCCTCGGCCAGATCCGTCCTATGAGACCAAACAAATCTGTCGTCCTCTCCTCGCGGATGCTCAGCTCGTACTTAGGACTCCCTTTTTCTGTCCTTGATTGAACAAACTGAATGTGAGGTTAGGCATTAGGCATCATTCTCAATGCTCTGACCAAAAAATAAATAAATAAATAAAGCAAATCTAACTGAGGCAGCTGGAGCTAAGGAGGAAGAGTGGTTCCTGCCAATTGGAAGCTTCTCTGGTCCACGTGTTAAAGTGTCTTTGGGCAAGACGTGAATGCCTACTCTTCCACCACACTCTGATCTGTGTGTGGCGTGTGTGTGTGTGGTGGAGAAGATAAGCAGGAAGAGCTACTTTTAAAATATTTAATATGTGTGAATGTGGTCAGTAACAGCAGAAAAGTGCTGCATAAATACAGTCAAATGAGCATAAATGTGCAGTTAATTTACTATGACATGTTTACACAAAAAAAAACCAAAAACAGAAACACTGTGGGCTTTTAGCTGCAGATTACCTCTGTCTGATGAGAGCGTTGTTTTTAATTAACTCACTGCTCATGAAGGAGTCGCTTCACTCAAAGATTTGAAACAAGTTCAGACTTTTTGACTGTATGCCACCGTTGGACTGAACTAAAAAGACTAAGTCAGTTTGTACTTCCGTCATCATTTTCCCTTTTAATAATTTACCACACCAAAACAGCAGCAGTGACATCGTCAGCCTCTGAGGTTTCCTTGAACCTGAAGGAGTTGGTGAATGGATTTCAACGGGTTCATTTTCGTTTTCTGCAAATGAGTTCATGAACCCGATGGCAGATGTGGTTTTGTTTCATAATACAGACTTCAGATTGGTGGATGTGTGTTTGATAAATGTGCCAGGCCCATTTGAAACCATCAAGAAACGTCTCAGCTTGGTGAAATTATTCACAAAATAAAAGTCTTGCACTCCTCTGGTAAATGCACGTCGACAAAAAATTTAATCAAGTAAGCTGAGTGTTGGGGATGGTATCCAGCTACTAACACACCAGGTTTTAGCTCAGTATTTATAAACCTGACTGGGTTGGAGCCACTTTTGTATTTGGGTAATGTTGGTTAGCTGTGTTACTCCAATCATTAATCGGTCGTTACTTTCTTATATTGTGATCCACCATTCAGTCATGGGTGTTAAAACAGTGACAGGAACACCATCAGTGCTAGAAATGAGCATTTTTAAAACTTGCTTTAACATAAATGCAACATTTTTAAGAGAGAGCAGTCTTCAAAGTGCTCATGAATCTAATGATATGAAAGAACATTGAAATGAATGTGACGTTTGGAGTTTTGATCCAATAAACTGAACAATCAGAACAGACTCAGTTTCCCATTAAATGTTTCGTTTGGTTAAGAAATGTTTCAAAGACTATTATAACATCTTACACAAAACTAACAGCAGTAGAGATGCATTTTACTTTTATTATGTGTAAGAAGACTATTTAATCTGTGAAAATGTACTTGTGTTTTGGAGCAATTGGTGGTAGAAAATGGTTTAAACACAAAAAATCACAACCAGTTGGTGGAACAAACTGTTTTAAAACTGGTGAAATGTTCAAAGCTCAAGTATAATGGGATTGTGAGATGGGAAATTGGATTGAAACAAAAAAATAAAGAAAAAATAATATAAAAGTGACTATTTGTAGTTTTTTGTCCTCTGTTTCTTTTCTTTATCTAATTTTTGCCAGAAACAAACATGTCATTGTGCCAGTAGGATCCCCAGATTTTATCTTTCACTAAAAGAGCCCAACACTAAAACTGAGTGTTGAGCTGGAAATCCTTTCTCAGCGTCTGTTTTTTCTGTCAGAGCGTTTTAAAAGCTGCACTTGAGTTGGAGGTCTAAACTCCGACCTTTAAAATACACATTTTAATGGCCTCAGCTCAGCTTCGAAGCTGTGTGCACAGTTTCAGAACAAGAAATATTTAGTTACTTTTCTGTACAAAAACTTTAACTTCATGTCATGGAAGGAGGGTGTTATTATGGCAATATTTATTTAACAAAGACAGAAATACGTTATCCAAGAATGAAGACACTCTGTGAGATGATCAGTTGAGTTTTATTGCAACAACAGGAAACACAGAGAACAACCTGCCCTGTCTCTGTACCTCTGCTTCTCTCTGTCACTGTCTCTCCACACTACTCACTGTGTCTCAAGAGGCCTCATATATATATTAACAAACACCATTATGTCATCTTAGCAAGATTTGATACAAGGCCAGTGGAAAACACAAAGAAACACAAGTTAAATCTAAGAATGATTATTGTTGTTAGCAGACCTTGTTCTGACTTTAATCATTCTATCTGCAGATGAACAGCATGTCATGAAACCTAGGTCATTAAAGGATGTCATGAATTACTAGCTTAAACATAAAAGTATTAGTTCCATTACAGAGGGTTTGCAGTCTCTAATGTGAAACATTTATTTAAGCTCACAGATGAGATGGTGTTATAGGGAAATCCTCTGAGATAAAATGGATGCTTCATTGCTGAGCAGTCATTTTCTCACAGTTTTTTTTTCTTTACATCTGTTATGTTAGCAGGTTTGAGGTGTTTTGACACTGTTTATCCTTCTTTAGGAGACACGCGTCCCTGCCGATCGAGGCCACGGAGAACTTGGGGAGGTTGGTGTCTGAAGGTTGCAGGAGAGTCGTCCCCTGCCGCAGGTGGAATTCTGCCTCTTTTGGGTACAGTGAGATGTTTTCTTCCAGCTTTAATGTAACCTATAGTGTGGTCCTGTCAGGGCCGCAACGTCCAGCAGTGCATTTCATTCCTCCCCTCACTGTCTAAAAGTTGTCAGAGCAGAAATCAGTGCCCTGCTAGTTAGCCTTTCTTTGTCAGGTGTATTGGCCGTGACAGCCTGACAGCTGCAAACTTCGCAGGACGCCGATGTTTGAGGCGTTGCAGCTGTTCTCCAGTCATCAGCGTTTCATGAATGCAGTTTTGAGTGCCTCTTGTTTTGTTCTCGCGATGCACACGCATCATCCTCTGTAACCAGAAGCACTCGGCAGGAGGAGATCGTTAGGGACGGCCTTAATGAAATACGGTCCCTGCGTAAATGAGCCTTCGTCGGCGCTGCTCAGCCATTAGCGTTCTCTGAGCTCAGACCTTGAGAAGGCTTCTCGGCAAACGCAGAGAGAGAGAGAGAGAGGGAAAAGTGAGCCGTCAGTCAAAATCTGCGGGACCGGCTGGGGAAAGGGGGCTTCAAAGAAACTTGAGAGCGTTTCAGAGCTGCCTCCTAGTGCTTTGTGCTTCATCATTAAAAAGAAATATGCTCTTAATCCATAGCCCACTTTTGGCTCATGTGCAGCACAAAAATAAATCCCACAGCAGAGCTGGAAAAAATGTTCTATTTAAAAAAAAAATCTGTGTTCAGGAGTATGTGATGAGTAAGAACATTCGGAGGCCGTTTTTAAACTCTGGTAACGTTGCAGAAATTAAATGTTCACTGCTATTTATTGCTGATGAATTTCTCACCGTCTCCTCTCTCTCTGTTTGTCTTGTTAGGATTGTTCCTCAGTGAGTAATTTTCTAGTGCATCTTAAGGCTAATAGGTTCAATGGAGCATTGGTTCATCATATTACTCCTCCTCAGCTCAGCAGCTAAATTTACTGTACAGAAGGTTTACTCATTCCTCACAGATGCACCGTTACAAACAGCTGATTGATAAATAGTGGAATGCGGCACGATGTCTTTGACTCATTTCTGAAGACTACTTTGAGACGAGATGGTAATTGTACATTGAGGGGCAGTTTTGTTTTAACACGACTCCTAAGACCTCAGTCAGGAAAAAGCCCTTCTTATCAGGTTTGTGTTTGAGGCAGCATGTTCTGCTGTTTTATCTGCCTCTTATAAATGCACCAACAGGTGGGTTTTAGAGTATTTCTTTAAGCCCCATTCACACCGGTCTAATACTACAATTCCATCCGAAGCTGCAAAATCAGTTCTTGTTGATGTAGTTGCGTGGTATCATTTTGTCCACAGAGCAGCTTCGCCAGCCCCTTCTTGACCCAAGGCCGGGGCCAAACTTGTTCTCACAGTCAAATGTATCATGTGATTCGTCATAAGTTCACAGGAATGTTTGTTCATGAGAAAAAGCACTCGGGACAGCTGAGTTGTCATTTTGCTCCAACTTCTCCGCTTCCAGGATTTATTTAAAGAGGAGCTGACAGAGGCAGTCAGAAAGTACGTCCATCTGCAGTATATGACTCAGACACCTGTAAAGGCAGTCAAATGACCAAAAACTCCTGGATGGAGAGAGCCCAAACATCGCGCACGGTGGAGTCCGGCCGCTGAAAAGTCTGGCGCTCAGGTTTGTGGCCAAAGAGTGGATATCAGTAGCCGTGCTTCCATCAATGTTTTTAAATGTACGTTTTGAAGTATCGCAATCAGAAAAGCTGGATGGAAACGGCACGATTTGAAAAATCTTCCTCTAATTCGCATTAAAGTTGATACTCTCGCTTGAGGTGATTTTTGTTTTTTTTGAAAAAGGGTTAATGCACAAAAGGAGAGATGGAAACACATTTGCCGAATAAGTTCTGATGTAGCGAACATTTACCTCACATGTTGATCAGCTGTTCCTGCTGTCTGAATGGTACCAGGCCTGTACCAGAGCCACTGCAGCCGCCACTGCAGCTGGACCCTCCTGCTGTCGGCGTCTTAGTTATTCCCGTAACATGAAGAGAATTACATTTCTTTCTCTACGTCTCCAGACAGCAGTAACATAGCCAGAACCAGTTGATGTGACAGAATAATTACAACTTTCCTGATAGTAGCAACACGTTCCTGATAACTTCTCTCCATTTTCCTGAGATGCGACTTTTACTTCCTGTTTACTACATGCATGCGTCTGACGTAATTGATTCGCTTCAAGCCGGTTGATAGAAACACGTCTGATATGCATTTCTTCGTTTTTTCTTTTTAGCAAATTTTTAAAAAATCGCTCAAAATTCGAATTAAAATTGGATGGAAACACGGCTAGTGTGTATACTACCAACAGGAAGAGTCCTGTGCTGTAAACGAGTACAGCAGGGGAAAGTTTTCTCTTGGAGCTGAACTAAGAAAGGTGGGTGTGAAAACAAACGCCTCTCAATCACACGACCGGTAGTTGACTGTTCAGCTTTCTAACGAGTACGCTGGGCCCTTTAGATGCTGCTGTTTGGACTGATAAAACAGCAAACTCAATGGTGACATGCAGAAGTAGAGGTTTAAAACTAAATATAGTGTTATTACTTCGTACTAATTATTGATAACTATTAGACAGAACATCATTTAAAAAATAACCAGACTATCCCTTTAAATGTGTGTCTTAGGAACAAATTGTCCATTTTAGGCTTTTACCAGGATTGTGACGAAGTCATGGAAAGAACACGTTGGGCAGCAGCCTCGTGCTGATGTGACGTGATCTTCAAAACCAGGGATAGGCAATCCTGGTCCACGGGGGGAGGGGACCACCACCATCCGCCATGTTTTACTTGTTTCCCAGCTTCGACACACCTGGTTTGAATGAACGGGTGATTAACAAGCTTGAAGAGGTAATTCAATCACTGACTCAGATGTGTTGGAGTAGCGAAACAAGCAAAGCCAGCAGGATAGTGGCCCTTGAGGACCAGGGTTGCCCACCCCTGTTCTAAACAATAGCTGCATCCTGATGAGGTCTGAAAAAACATCAGGAGCAGATGGAGCGTGGGGAGGAGGGACACACAAAATAAGTATATATAATAGCACAAAAACCCCATTTGGTGAGTCCCAAGAGTGCGGCAGCTTCATGATTGCCTTCGCAATAAAGGTGTTCCAAATTCACGGCAATCCAGCCTTGGTGGTGGAGAGTGTAGGGATGTTGTCATCCAGCGTGAAGAGCAGAAGACAATACATTTTTTTTTTCTTTTGTTTTGCCAAGAGCTTGATTTTATAAACAGACGCCACTCAGCTGATCTGTTTGCTTGATTCTTATTGGTGCAGAAGGCGCATTTTAATCCTCTGCTGTTCCTGTTTGTTTATGTGCTTAAACTAAACGGAGGCAGCTCAGTATCACAGTTGTGTACTCACATGCTGCCAAAATGAGTCCCTGCCCAGAGTCCCACTCAAACAGTTCCTTCCCCCTTCCCGGTGTGATTCGCAGTTCTGTTGCACCGAGTGTGGGTCAGGCAACGATGCAGACACACAACATCACACAACATCACACAAGAAGCTTTATTTGTTTGTTTGTTAAACTGTGGCCACTGCTGTTATTACAACCACATTATAGTCATGGAATTAATATTTGTTCCAATGTTATTTGCTTGGACTTTGCATAAAAGTTTATAATATTCATGAAATTGCAATGACAATGAGAAACTTTTGTCTGAGTCTATATGACTTTTATTAGATAAATATTTAATCCACAACAAAAGATCTGCTCAGAATTGTTGGAAAATCTCCATATGATTGAATATTCTTCATTTGTGCCCACAAGGTCCATAGGCTCTTTTACAGACACCTCAGTTCCAGACTTAGATGCATTTTGGCCGCCTCAGGGTGATTCATAAATGAATCGAGGCGCAGAGAGAGAGAGGGGTCAAAGCTAGCCCACCCCTGGTGCACCTTTGTGCCGAGTAACAGCGCTGAAACGGCTGAGTTGTGAAACAGAAAACGCCTCGAAAACAAACTTGATGTCATCACATTATTGAGCCACAGCAGTCAGTTTTGGAATTAAACAGATTTATTCCAGAGGAGAAATCGATGATGTCGCACAACAACTTTATATTTTCTTTAAAAAAATAGTTAATCACAAAGAGACTCGATAAACTCAGCAAATTTATCACGTTTTGGAAAGGATATGAGGCAGACGTCCGTCACACGCTCGCTGCGTTGCGCTGATTTCTGCTTCGTGCCTCTTTTGGTTCTGTGATGCTCACTTTGTTTCTGAAAACTCAGGTCTGTGCAGGACAAGCCCAGCATCTGCTGATTCATGAACAACCAGAGGAAGCATAGATGGACCGGTCTGTGTGACTGTTTTATGACAGAGCCTTAGACAAAAGAAGACTAGTAGTAGCTGGACTTTTGTTCATTTGAATTATTTTAAAAAATGAATGTTTTTTGTAATTCAGCACTGAGTGGTGTTTTATAGAGGGTCTGGTGTTTGTGCACCTCACATTCTGCACAACTCTGTGTGGGCGGCGAGTCAAATCTGGTCACAATAAACAGCCGTCGCCCTGGAATCAGCTGAGCAACAACAGCATCATTGATAGGAGCAGGGAGCAGCACATGCCTCCGCCCACACACACACACACACACACACACACACACACACATCCTTGTATTTGCGTCAAACTGAGGACATTGTACTGACTTCCGTTCATTTTTGTAACTGTATTTATGTCTAACCCAGACATTTTCCTTAAAATTAACCATTACTGGTCTACAGTTAACACTAACCTTAATCAAAACTTAATTCACACCATACCTCTAAACCTAACTAGTAAAGCACAGAGGAGCTGCAAAAAAAAAAAGATAGGGACAAGGTCCTCGCTTCACATCAAAGACCTCACTTTGATAGTAACTACTTTGCAAGTGGTCTTCAAGCGCGCGCGCGCACACACACACACACACACACACACACACACACACACACACACATCATTTCAGCTCTGTGACTTTGACCCATTTCGCCTCTGTACTTTCACAACCGACACCCCTACACCAGCGT